ATGACTTCATGTTCGGTGTTCCTATTAGTGCTTGGTGAGTTGGTGTTGTCCAATAGCCGCGACAGCTGAAGAGATGAGACTCTAGAGACTTCGGACTCTGGTTTGGAGCTGGAAGACGATTAGACGAGAGTCTTGAGATGGCAAGTCAAAAGAGATAGTGATGAAGGAAGATTTGGCCCGACCTCGCAATCACTCCACGTGGCAAAAGCAAATAATTCCGTTCAGAGGCAAGGTCATTGACAGCTAAGACCAGCCGGATTGCGCACCATCAGATAGGAATAGAGAGAAAGGAGAAAGGGTCTTAGTCTCTGATAGAATGACAGTCTGACTCTTAGATGCCCACGTGACAAGAAAGTTTCTTGTCTAAGACGTTTTGCAGTTTGCATATTTTGGAATTTGGCAAATAGCCAAATATGCTTCTTCATTTATTAAATATTAATATAAAATTAAATTTTAAATTATAATATTAAATTGGTTTTTTTGGTTAACCGATTTATCAAGTCTGATAACCGAAATTGAAATCCGAAATACAAAAAACTGAAAAAGAAAACCGAACCCGACCAAAAAACTGATTAAGCCGGACCAATTAAACCGAAACCAAAATTTCGGTTTGGTTTTTTGGTTTTAACTGAATTATGCTCACCCCTAGAGGCAATCAGTTTCGTTTCACCCTTAACCCATATCTTGGCCAAAAACCATTGACTTGGTCAGTGACTCACTGATTTGAACAGTCGAACCAACATCCCATTCAACCCGGACAATGGTTTTTGGTCATTTTTAATTTTAATTATATTTTAAATTTTTATTTTTATTTTCAATTTGGACAGTTCATCCATTCGAACTATATGGTTGAACTACTAACCCTAAAACTAGTGGCCAAAGCGGTTCTAGTTCTAAATTGTTTTCTAAAACATTGATGATATCATAAGTGTATCCATTTCAAACCCAATGGTTGGACCACTAACCCAAAACCTAGAGGCAAAAAATGGTCCCATTTTCAATTTGACTTTTAAAACATTGGGTTAAGGTTAACTTCATTAATTAGGTTATGTAGGTTAATTGGGGTAACTTAATTTAAAATTGATTAATTATGTTACTTAATTTAAGTTCATTTAACTTAATTAAATGAACTAATTAGGATAGTCGTGTTACTCAATTTAATTAGGTAATACTTTAATTAACTAATCAAATAAATTATTTATTACTCAATTTTCATGCCTCTTTTTAGAAGATTATACTAGAGGGGATCTACTTAGGCCTATAAACAATATTCGAAAATTCGAATTCGAACCCTAGATTTGGCTTAATCGAATCGAATTCAAATAGTTCGAATCGAATATTCTATTGAATTCGAATATCATTTTTTTATTGATTAAATTATTGGATTGAATTCAGATATGCATTGATCTGATCCGATAAATATCCGAACCAATTATATATATAATTTGTATATATTATAGTATATTATTATATAATATAAAGATTAAAAAAATAAAAAATAACTAATGACTTAATGAATAATGAGTTCGAAAATCTCAAAACCGAACTCTTTCATTCGAACAAACCTGAACCTCCTTACCACCTCTCTCTCATCTTCTCAAAACCCTAAAGTAAAAGTGTAAAACCCTAACCCTCTGACCTTCGTCACTCCCTTCGCCGTCGCCAGACGCCGCTCGAGCAACCATCGCTGGTCTGTCACTGGTCATCGCCCTTCCTCGCCGTCATCGCTCATCTTGTCTCCTCTATCTCTCTTTTCTCAGTCTCAGTCATAGTGAGATAGTGAATCGCTGCCGGGAACCCATCACTATTCACCTTCTTTTCTCAATCTTAGTGACAGTGAGACAGTGAATCATTGCCAGCATCACCTTCTTGTGTTGCAACCCACAATTTCCACCGGGAACCCATCATCTTCTTTTCTCAGTCTTAGTGTGAATCGCCAACATCACCTTCTTTTTTCAGTCTCAGTGTGAATTGCCAACATCACATTCTTTTGCTGCAACCCACGCCTGTTGCCGTCCCCTGCCTCTTTTCCCAAGGTAATTTTCAGATCACAAATTTATGATAGTGATTTAGATAATGATTTACTAGTTTTTTGGTTTTTGGTTATGACATAGATTCATTTACACTTTCTTTGCAAAATGTATACATTGTCTATTTGAATTGAATCGGATTTGAATTCACATTCAAAAAGTCAATCGGTCGAATTCGAATCGAATCGGATATTTGATTTGATAATCGAAATTGAATTCAAACTCAAATATTTGATATTCGTCAGATATCAAATCAAATTTGAATATTGGTGTTCATAATCGGTTTCGAATTCGAATATAACCTGATCCGATTCGAATTCGATCCGTTTACAGGCCTAGGTTTACTTGCAACTATGTCAAAAAGTTCAGGGGATGTGATTGCAGTTACCAAACTTTAGGGGAGGTTTTTTCAACAACCAAAAACTTTAGGAGAGGTTTCAGCAATTTATCCAAAGATTAAACTTGAATTAAGTTATTAGGTTAATGAAACTTAATTAAGATAATTAATTTTAAATATGTTAATTAAATTAGCTCTATTTAGGGTAGCTTAAATCAATTATGTAATTTTACATGTAGCGTATGTAACCACTGATTAAAGGCATTAATTATGTTTAATGGGTCATGTTTTTGTAACATTGTTTTAAAAATGGGTTATTGACCATTGTGATGAGAAGAAAGAGTAAGAGGAATATGTTGAGAGTAGCCCTGTTCATGGGCCGAGTAGCCCAATAGCCTGGCTGGTTATTTTTCAGGCTTGGACAAAACTTTAGGCCCACAAGCTCGGGCTTAGGCTTTAAATACTAGGCCCGGTCATTTTTTGAGTTGAGCTTGGGCTTTCTCAAATAAGTCTGACCCGGGCCTGAGCCGATACTATTACATATAATAAAAAAACATTTATGTTGTATATAATAAATATATATAATATATATTTGTTTTTTAAATTATTAATAAATATTAATATACTATTAGGAAATACAAATTATTTTATTAATTTATTAAATTATTACTAAATAATATAATATTTGTTTATAAAAGTACATTGAAAATAAGACATATTGTGTACAGGTTGGGCTTCGGGCTCGGGCTCGAGCTTCGAGCTTTATATAAAGGCTAGACTCGGGCTCAAGATCTAGGCCCGATGGTAGATTCAGGCTCAGGCTCGGGCCTACACATTTTTTGTTGATAAAGAGGCAAAGCCCGGCCCAGCCCATGAATATGTCTAGTTGAGAGGAGGAAGAAAAAAATGGAAAGATGATGAATACGGTAAGAGGTTGATAAAAAAAGATAAAGAAGGTGCATTAAGGGTAGCATGAAAGTTGGAGAAGTTCCTAATGTATTGGAGAGGTTTTAGGGGTGTAGAGAGAGAGAGAGATATTTTAGGAAGATTTTTAGATAATTAATAAAAGTAAACAAATTTGAGACAAGCACGTTTCCATTAGGGGTGGGAAAGGGTGAGGGGACATGCTGAGGTGGCAACTCTAGGGACTTGGTAAGAGAATAATGTATCCCCTCTAGAATTGCAGGGTTGGGGTAATGGAGCAAGTGGAACCCCACTTATAATTTTCAAGTGGGACGCACCAATTTATTTTTTGTTTAAAGGATATAATTTCAAGTGGAACCCACTTATATAAATGGTTTTTATTTTATTCAATGGAACCCATTTGCAATTTTCACTTTTTTAAAATTTAATAGTGCTACATCAACATTTCTATTATTTTGTTCATTATTTAAAAAATTGTGAAATACGTCACTAACGCCCTGCATTTTGGGGATAACATTTGCCTTTTCTTTGAAGTCTAAGGTTTAAATTAACCTCTTAGATTATAAAAGGGCAAAAGTGGTTTTTTCGCAAAATATATGGATTGTTAATAGTTGAAAATCCTTTTTTTAGCAACCTGATGTGAGCCATGGCTTAAAATGGGACAATTGCAACGGATAGGGGTGCAACTTGGGCGGGCCCAACCCAAGATCTTGCACGAATTGGGCTTGAGTTTTCAGGCTTTGGGTTGGGCCTAGGTTGAAAAACTCAGGCCTGACATGAACTCGGTTTGGGCTTGGGTTGAGGTCTGTATAGCTCGAGTTCAACTTGAGCTTACTTGAAGAAATACAGACATAAAAGCATTTTTTATCTACATAAAAATACCATTTCTCATTATATATATATGCATGTATTAATGACATTTATGCATATTTTTAGTCCATTCTACTTTTAAATGGGATTTAAAGTCGAATAAAATATGATTATATAAAAATATAATCATAAAATCTTTTAAAATTCACCAATCTGCCCAGGCTCAACCTTTACCTGACCCAATTTGAATCTGAATCTAATCCGAATTGTATTGGACTTAAATTAATAAACTCGGGCTTTAACCTTGGATTGCCATTGGATTGATAAAGTCAGAAATGAGATCGGGTTGAGACAGACCCGAACCCGAAGTTTGTATCCTAGGGCTGGGCATGGATTGATCCCGAACGCGACCCAACCCATCTTGTTTAGGTGTGTCTGCAGCACTTAAATCCGTGGGCCCTCCTCCTAAAGAGGTACCAAGACTAGACAGTTATTTTTTTTTTCGAAAAAAGGAAAAAAATGATTCAGAGCGTCAGACAGATATGCACCCCAAGTTACCTATCCGTGACAACAGTGTCCAATCATCTGACATCTAAACTTGTCCCAATTGCCCTACCAAAGCAAAAGGTTTTTCAAAGATTCACGGTTAGATTGATGGATATGATAAAGAGATTGTGGTTACTTGGCTGTTGATTTAACTCTAAGTCTTATCCGCGTAATTTCGATGTTCGAATATTTGGTGGCTACGTGGATTAGCGAAGTGGACATCTCCACTAGCCAACAAAAACACATGGGATAGATCACGCTGACGGAAAACTTGCCGGAATATTCGTTCGAGGCTGGATTTCTCGGGCAAGAGTACGCCTTTCCCGAAAAGTATAAATACTTCTCAATTTTCCCCATTTCATGCCCTAGACACCAATTTCTTCTCTACCCCGCGCCTCCACCGGCCATAAGCCCGTAACATGCTGTTTGTAGCGAAAATAAGCTGCGAGGAACCACAGGAACATTGTTTTTCTCAATTATTTTCTGTAAATTCGATTGAGATCAATGGATTTAGTGTTTTTGGGGGACAAAGAGCTCCGGGAAAGTGTGAAAAGGGAGTCTTTCCTTTTGCTTTTGATCCTCTAAAACGTGTAACAGATCTTTGGTTCTCTTGATTTTGCTCTTGTTTTTTTTCTTTAATTTTATATTCGGGTATTGTTCACCGTTGAGATGGATGCGGTGGAGTTGCCCCTTCCGGCGGCTGTTGCTATGTCGAAGCTTTTGACTGGCGAGGGTGTTGGTAGAACGAAGGCTACGATGGAGGAAGAGGAGATTCGGGAACCTGACCGTGTTTCCATCCTTGGAAGCCCTTCGAGTACTGGCTGCAGCTCTTCTACCGGTCGTAAAGGTCCGTTTCTCAGTTCTCTTTTTTGCTTGGTGGTGCTTTTCTTTGCTAGTCTTATGTTCCTTTCTAGTTAGTTGTTATTATTATTATTTTTCATTTCGGTAGTAATGCAGTTTAGCGTTTAGCCTACTTCTTCTTGTTCTTCTATGTTTTTATTTTTTAGCGTGGAGATGTGCTACGTAGAAGTAATTTTAATTTATTACTGTGAGAAACCTAATTCCTTCAGTGGGAGCTAACTCCCAGAACAAAGTATCTGCACGTTTAATTTGTGACTTTTAATGGGAGTTCACTGCATGGCAATCCAAGATACACATGTCCTCTAAACCACACGTCTGCACACTTGGTTCACAGAAAAAAAAATTATCTAGATAAAAGAAAAAAATTCAATTCACTACAACATATATCTAGATAAAAAATTGGCCCTTTTGGATGTCCCTATCCATCTTAAGCTTTATGTTTCCTGGTTCTTAATTTTGTTTTCTGACCTTTTCATATTGTACGAGGAAAATAAACTCACAAATGAAAATTGCTCTATCAGGGGCTTGTTGAATAGTTCTGGTGTAGGAGATACAGTCATAGGTGTACTGCATTTGGATTCATGTTAATGGTTGCAAGCTTAACCTTTATATACATAAAACATGAATAGTGAATCCTTGTACTATGGATAGAAAAAGAGAATTTATTCCTTAATAAGATGCGATCATTTTGTTAGAATCGCATGAATTTTTGTTGAATTGGATGGCTGAAGTTGTAGAAGAGAAGAAGAACTATAAAAGTAGTAGGTGGCTAGATGCTTCACTTCCACAGTTTGATCTAATTCATTCCTTTTGTTAGGATTGAAGGGTTTTATGTATTGATGGTTYGGCTGATAAGGGTTCTTATTAGTCTGTATTTATGTTTTAAGTTGTTATGTACTGGGCCTGTGTTAATGGGCCTAAGTTTATTTGCTGTTTTAAGTAGTCTGGGTGTCCCATCATTAATCAGGGGCATTCCAGACATTTCCTGTAACATTATACTGTAATATAATATAAATAACAGTACTGTCGACTGGACAGAACAGTTCGACATTCTCAACACCTCTTGGTCTCCTTCTCTCTTCTACTACTTCGACTACAGCATTTCAGCTTTCATGGTATCAGAGCATTGAGCACTTTCCTGGTTGCAGCCGAYGCCATMTCTTCTCWCTTGCTGTCTTTCTTTCTTTGTTTTATCTTGGTTGCTGCGGTGAAACCCTAGGGTTGCAGGAGAACACTACAAGGTTCGAACCTAGGGTTTCCCTTGGTTGTAGGGC